TATAAATAAAAACAGTATTCTTCCACCAAACAATGTAGTGCCTGGTGGTTGCCGAGCAACACACAGAAGTAAACAAAGCTGTATGTTTGTAGAGTAATTTACAACAGCTTCGAAAGCGGCTCAGCCAATCAGAATCAAGGACCGCAACTATCCGTTTTATAATAGGTAATTTAAATTACAAAATAAATGTAAGTGTAATCCATTACAGTTACTGAGAAAAAAATGTGTAATTAAATTAGTTACTTAAGAAAATGTTAAGGGTTACATCTGAATATTTTCACACACACAGATTTGATTGATTTCTTTCATAAATTGCATTGACTGCTCTAAAATATGACACATCAATGTTTCAGGAGTAGAATAGGACACATGCTTATTTGATAACCGTTTTATTTCCTATTTGGGTTTATGCATATGCTTTATTTTTTAAGATGAACTGTTTTTTTTTTTTTCGAAGGCATTGTTAGATGCTTGTCTTTCCTGTCATAGCTATGCAAAGATTTGAATTCAAAAACAGTATCATAGCTATTAAACTATTTCTTGTTATGATTTGTTGTTATGATCTTGTTATGATCAGTATTTAACCTCAGAATGATCTCAAAGTAAAAAGAGGTGCTAAAGTCTGATTTTGTGGTGGCCGTGCTTTAAAATTCAATTATTATATAATCTTAATTCAAACGATGAAGGATTTTGAAAGTCTCAGACTACTGTAAGGTTAAAATTGAAAGTCTGAGAGTAATCATTGTTGAGCACTACTGTAAGGATAACCCTGCCTGGTTTAAAAAACATTCATTAGAAATGTAGAAAAGTAATCAAATGTAATCAGTTACATTACTTTAATTAAATAATTGAAATAGTTACACTACTTGTAACTGGTAACCTGTAAGCTATTACATTTCCAAAGTAACCTTCCCAACACTGACTGCCAGAGAATAAGAAACTAAGATCTATAAACCACCACATAGATCTGAACTATAACACACAATCAACCTGAAAACCCAGCAAATCAATTCCCATCACAACTGCAGCAGTATTTACGCTGGACTCACAGCACACTCACCACTTTCATGATGGATTTCTCCCAGGCGATGGACTTGTGCAGCTGCTGTATGCATAGAGAGAGCTGACTGGCACTGCGCACCTCGCCGAGAGCTTTACGCCACTGTTTCAATCCTGGAGCCAGATCTTCCTCAGCCCTGCCACACACACAGATATTAAAGTACAGCACACTAGTGAAATTAAATTAAATGAAATAAAATTTAAAAAATTATTTCATAATAAATATGACCAGGGTCTGAAATTAACTTTTTGCCACCCCTGCCAATTGACCCTTCGCAGAGAGTTTGATTGACAGGCGATCTGACCAATCGTAACGCTGAATCTGCCATTTTGTCCGACAAACAAACCAGACAGGAGAGTAGATTAACGTCGGTGGAGTTGAATTTGAAAAACGGTGTGTATTGACGTCTTTCCGCGGTTGAAACAAGATACCCGATATGTTCATTCATGTTTATTTTGTGCTGTAACTAGTAAAGAGGAAGAGATGATCAGTTCACGTGCCGCTTGAACTGAGGAGCTACAGCGATCGGTCACGACACATTAAAGAGCCACAAAACACTATTTATTGTTTGAATTTCTTTAAAAAATGACAAAATTTGAAAGCTGAGACTTTGTTTCATACCAGAAGTAACCTGCTCTGTCTTGTCTGTCTGTGCGTTGTCAGTGTCCTCTTTGCTCCACAATGTATTTTTCACTGTGTGAGAACATGATGGCTTGTCGGACGTAGCAACAGTAACTAAGGGGGGTGGGTCTTTGCTAAGGGTCAATTGTGAGGGCATTTAATGCATTTACAGGTCATAAATATTTCTTACTGCCCATGAAACTGTATTTTGCATTTGCAATTTTTTATTAAATAAAAATAATACGATGCAAAAATATCTGTATATTTGTCCTGAAGACAATTCAATTATTTAGCATTTTTCCTTGCATCAGTGATGATTAGATTCTTTCAAATCTTCCTAAAGTTCTTACAAATTAATTTGTAAGCAAGTCAATGGCAGCTTTTATTCTGATTTGGTGCATGTTAATTTAGGAGCCTGGATATGAGCGTATTTCAGTAAAAACATAAAATGATCAATAACCCACATTCATTCTGATATAACCACAGTGCACAAGCTGAATGAGCAATCAGAGAGCAATCAGACTCAACTGTGTTTTGCCATTTTCCACAAATAGTGTCCATCGTTACTGTTTAAAAAGCATTAAGAGGCACAATTAATTTTTTCAATATTTTTCAAACAATTTTTGGATATTGGTATGTAAAACCTTTTATTTACTATAATTTATGCAATAATATTTATATAATTATTTATCAAATATTATCTATATAATATTATATGGGAAATATAATTTGATCAGTAACTACAAGCCAACATTTAGTCACAAAACTATGTATTCCCTACTGAGTGATGGCTTAATATAGGCTAAATTTTTAACTTTGTTACTATTATTATTATCATTTTTATTATTATTATTACTCAGAACTCTGACCTCTATAGTAATAATAATTATAAATAATATTGTTTTTCTTTTTTGAGAAGTATCAGATGTTAGTCTGTAAACTCTTTTATTTAATATAAATTATATAATAATATTTATACAATTATTTATATAATATTATCAAATATTATTTCTATTTTATGGGATAAGATGATAAGTAACTAAATAAAACAACACTTGGTCCCAAAACTATCTACCTCGTACTGAATGGTGGATTAATTTAGGCTAAATAATTCTTGCCTTTATAGATTTAAATTTTTACGTTTATTTAGAAATATATCACACCTCTTTTCGCTGACCATTTGTTAAAAATAAATAAATACATAATACTTATATAGTATATTATAATTAATAACAACAGCAACAATTATTATTAAAAACAATAATTATAATAATAATGACAATAATAAATAACTACATAATTTAAGTTATATTTAAATGTACTCAATTATTCTAATTAAATTCAATTATTATTATTAATATTTGTGATTAATTATTAATGATTATTAATAATAATACTATTATAACAAACAACAACAATATATATAACAATACAAATAATAGTAATAAACAAAAATCAAATTATTTAAATTTTATTTACATTTAATACAATTATTCCAATTAAATTAAATTATTGTTTTTAAAAATATATTATTATTACATGTATTTGTTTATTGTTGTTTTATTTGTAAGATTTTCAGGCTCTATTTAGTACCCTTTTTGTGGAAGTCTTTTCAAGAAGTACTTGCTTGAGGAAGGCAGATGACAGGATATAATGAGGCTGTGGTTATTGTAGATGTATGCTCATGCTTCACAACTCAGAAATGGTGTAGGTTGCAGTGTAAATGGGAGACGGAAGCCACAGCCATAAACCCACAGATGCACACAGCCAAAGTGAAGCATGAAGAGCGGCAGACGGGCTTGAGGAGCGTGTGAATCTGGATGACCTACCCGTCACCATCAGCTTTAGCAGGTGATGGCGCAGGGGCCGGTACTGAGACCGTTCCCACGTTATCCAGTCTGATCTGAATGGTGCTGCTTAAAGGGGTCTTCAGGTACCTTCGCTCAATGTTCCTCTCCAGCTCTGCCAGACGCGTCACTGCTATATCCAGAGGGTTGTTTGCTCGACGCAAGATGCCACAGTCACTCCTGTCTTCGCAGTTCTCCATGACAGGTTTGTGCTCGTAATACACCAGGTCTTCACTCTGTGACTGCGGCACTGGATGCATCCAGCCCTTTCAAACAAGCATGCTTTTCATATGCTTTTATTTACTGCACTTCAAATTAGAGACAATGTTGAAAAATTAACGCTCTTAACCTGGATCTTGACCTTACTTGTACTATGTTAACAAGATCCAGCACCTCTGTGTCATACTTTCTGGCTTTTTCATGTCAATTTCTGATATTTTTCTCTTTCATATTAAACCATGCCCCCTAGTGGCATTATTTGGACTTAATGTTAATGCTGATGTTGCTAAAGGGTTTATACTAACAAACTGGAAAAAGCCTTCCCTCCCAATTACTCTCACTGGATGCATGGCCTGTTATAGTTTATTCAAATATAAAAAAAAATGATTCACAATGTTCTTAAATGCAAAAATTTTTTATAGTATTTGGCAACCCAATCATACTTGAAAATGTATTAATAAACAGAGAGAACATGAAAAACTATTTTCCTGCTAGTTGGTTGTGATTCTATATGTAAAAATAAATTTTTATCCTTCTCAGTATTGTCTCAATTATTGGTGTATTTTATGTATATATGTACTTATTTATTATTATTATTTATTAGCATATCTATACACACACACACACACACACACACATACACACAAAGAGTAGAGCACAAAATAAAATAATAATTTCAATTGAATAATTAATGCTCGTAATACACCAGGTCTTCACTCTGTGACTCCGGCACTGGATGCATCCAGCCCTTTCAAACAAGCATGCTTTTCATATGCTTTTATTTACTGCACTTCAAATTAGAGACAATGTTGAAACATTAACACAATGTTCTTAAATGCAAATTTTTTTTATAGTATTTGGCAACCCAATCATACTTGAAAATGTATTAATAAACAGAGAGAACATGAAAAACTATTTTCCTGCTAGTTGGTTGTGATTCTATATGTAAAAATAAATTTTTATCCTTCTCAGTATTGTCTCAATTATTGGTGTATTTTATGTATATATGTACTTATTTATTATTATTATTTATTAGCATATCTATACACACACACACACACACACACACATACACACAAAGAGTAGAGCACAAAATAAAATAATAATTTCAATTGAATAATTAAAAAAAAAAGTTAAATATAATAAAATATTCATTTATTTATAATTAATTATTATTAATAATAATAATTGTAATTTAATTGTATACCTTATACACATATACATACAAATACATGTATATAAATTAATTCTAAAAATTAAATAAAATTTTTTTAAATAAATAATTAAAATAATTATTATTCCTAATATTAATAACAACTATTATTATTGTTAATAATAATAATGATGCTAGTAAATAATAATAATAATAATAATAATAATGAACAAACAAGAACTACTTATGCGCACAGGCAAAATTGTTAAAATTAAATAATTACAATTATTATTATTAATGATAATTATAATAATAATATACAAACAAACAACTAAATTTTTTATTGCATTTAACTTTTTCATAATTATTACAGTGGAATTATTTTAATTAAATTAGTTTCAGTTTCATATATATATTTAATATTTCTTTTTTTTTTAGCTTGGTGCAAACATACCTAATTGTATTTTGTGACTGTTTCAAAGAGTAAGAAATACTTCTGTCTGATCCAATCTTGATATTTCTGTTAACATGTCTGTTAACATAAAATGTTGATTTAATCTCTCTTGTTGAAAAGCATCAATAAAAAAGTTCAACTAAAACACGAACACTCTCATAGGCGCAAACGGTGGCCAAAATGTTCATCAAAATCCAGATTTCCTACCTTAACCTGCAGACTGGATGAGGAGACTTTGTGCTCCAGTTCCTTGACCTGCTGCAGGACACCGATGTCCATGTCCATGGCCTGTTCTTCCACACACCAGCTCTGGACAGTGTCCTCAGAGACCTGATTCTCCTCCAGCTCAGAGACGTCGATCACAGAGACTGGACACAGAGCGCAAGCTGAGAGCGCTGCACTCGAAGCATTTCAACAGGGTTTAGAGACACAACGAGCACCTACCATCTCTGTTCCTGCTGCAGACCTGCCCGATGTAATCCATGTGTTTCTGCAGCTGTTTCTGCAGCTGTTTCTCTCGGATCCCTCGGCAATGGCACGCTTTCTCTATGGATCGTAACTCCTCGATGTCCGTCACCTTCCACCAGCCAGTCAACATCTCTACAACACATAAACACAGCACAAAAAAACAGGTTTGTTGGGTCAGGTTGGAAAATATATACAACTTCATATTTTTCATTGTTCAATAGATTAAAACGATGATTTCAATTAAAGTAACCATCATTTTAATCAAACAGTCATTGGAATAAAGTAGATTTAAATTGTTTAAATGTATTAAATAAAATATAGTAAAATCTAGTTATCTTTTTTTCATTGATTCACACACATACTGTATATTACACTACCGTTCAAAAGTTTGGGACCAGTAAGATTTTTAAAGAAGATTTTTCAAAGTCTCTTCTGCTCATATATATATATATATATATACAGTATATATTCTTTATTAAAGCATTATATTAATTATACCGGTATATTAATTTATAATATACTACCATTCCAATTATAAATTAATACTTTTTGTTCAAGGATGCATTAAATTGATCAGAAGTGACAGTAAAGACATTTATAATGTTACAAAAGATTTCTATTTAAAACAAAAAATGCTGTTCTTTTGAACTTTTTTCATCAAATAATCCTGAAAAAAAAAATCATGGTTTCCATAAAAAGTAGCAAAAACGGTTTATTGTTATTATTATTATTATTGTTGTTGTTGTTATGAACAATAATAATAATAATAAGAAGAAAAAGTTCTTTAGAATGATTTCTGAAGGATCATGTGACACTGAGTAAAATTCAGTTTTGATCACAGCAATAAATTACATTTTAAAATATATTCACATAGAAAACAGTTATTGTAAATTGTAATATTATTTCACAATTTTTACTGTATTTACTGTATTTTTGATCAAATAAATGCAGCCTTGGTGATCAGAAGAGACTTCTTTCAAAAACATAAAAAAATATATAATATAATCATGTTTACAATATTCACCTAAATATATTTTAAATAAAACCTTTTAATATGAAAACGCCACACTGAGTCTTTGAACATCTCATGACGATTTTTAAGTGAGGACTTAAATTAATCCTTGAATCAGAACATTGACTCGACTCAGTCGAATGGAACTTTGAACTGATTCAAAGAAATGAATCAGACGGCTGTACTAAAAAAATAACAGTAATAATAAAATAAACCTCTTAAGACTCTCAAGATGTGTTATCTCCCAGCCTTACCTTCAGGAATAGGTTGAGGTGATGGGTAATCCTGGTTTTTATGCACCTCGATCACAGGTGAGGGTGTGGAGAGGGGTTTCTCCGCTGGAGACTCTGGGGAATCGCTCTTACTGTCGTTCAGGTTTCCACTGCCCTCCAAGGATGGGTGAACACCACTGAGAATCTGAGCCATGGAAACCCCAGAGAACATCATGTCTGGACTCAAATTTCCACTGGACCAAACACAGAAGGGCAGATCTATCATGGGCACGCCGGACCTCATCTGCAAACACAAAGGAACTGTTAGTCAAAAAACACAAATACAGAAAGAGCTAAATATATAAGGTCTACGCTGGGTTTCACAAATGGGGGTTCATGAGATGATGAAAAGCGAATAGTTAAACCGAATCTCATAATAAATTAATAAATGTAGCTGCACAATTAATCGAAATAAAACCAAAATCGCAATTCAGCTTAGTGAGAATATCAAATCAAAGGCTGCAATTTAATTAAGTATATGCGTTTTGGGAATGCAATGTACACTAGATTCACTTTATTTACAAGTTTGCATAATTTGCAACATTTCTGTGAATAGAAGTTTACAGAATTTCACCAATATTCCGCCAAAATAAAGGTTTTAGGATTTGAATGTTTGAAAGTGAAAAATGTAAAATATATAAATGTGACCCTGGACCACAAAACCAGTCATAAGGGTCAAGTTTTTTTTATATATCATCTGAAAGCTGAATAAATAATCTTTCCATTGATGTATGGTTTGTTATGATAGGACAATATTTGGTCGAGATACAACTATTTGAATATCTGGAATCTGATGGTGCAAAAAAATCTAAATATTGAGAAAATCATCTTTAAAGTTGTCCAAATGAAGTTCTTAGCAATGCATATTACTAATCAAAAATTAAGTTTTGATATATTTACAGTAGGACATTTACAAAATATCTTCATGGAACATGATCTTTACTTAATATCCTAATGATTTTTGGCATAAAAGAAAAATCAATAATTTTGACCCATACAATGTATTTTTGGCTATTGCTACAAATATACCCCAGCGACTTAACACTGCTTTTGTGCTCCAGGGTCACATATATTAGTACTGCAACTTAAAAAAGTATTATATTTTATATATAAATTACATATAAAATTATATCATATATAATATTATTTAATATATAGTATATTACAAATTATATATAAATATAATTATGAAATATTCATTTTTTTTACAGGACAAGTGTAACTTACAACAGTAATATATTTATATAATATTCAGTTTATCATTAAGAGCTGAAACAACAACAAGCCCTTTATACATGCAGCCCTATATATAAACAATAAAAAAAACAATCAAAACAAATTGCACTGAACAAAAATGATCATTTCTTCTTCTTCTTCTTATTATTATTATTTAAGTTAACTATAATAACCTGGTCAAGACTATGGAAGTTCATTTCTGCCACTGAATAAAAAATAAAACAAGGTAATTGCGACTCGTCTCACAATTCAGACTTTTTTTCCTCAGAATTGCATGATATAAACTTGCAGTTCTGAGTTATAAAGTCTTTATAAAGTTCATATAAATACTTTATAACTTGCAATTACGAATGTATATCTATCTCCCAATTCTACCTTTTTTTCTCAGAACTGCAGGATATAAACTTGCAATTATGAGAAAAAAATTGAATTGTGAGATAAAAAGTGGCAATTAACTTGTTTAATTTTTTCTTCAGAGTTGGAAACAGTTGTTTTGCTTCCATACAAGACACTCTGAATGTTGGCTTGACAGTATTGTCTGAAAGCTTAAAAAGGTTTAAAAAGTCTTGTACAGATTTTATAGGCAATTCTCCAGGATTTGGAACGACATGAGAGTGAGTAAATAATCAAAGAATTACATTTTTCTCAACTAATTCTGTAAAACAATCCTTTTCTGTTTCGGTTTAAAAGATTCCACTCGGTTTCTGTTGTTTCCTGTCTTCACACCATGATCTCATTCAGTCTCATTCTCTCACCCTCTCCGCTCTCCAGTCCCTGCACAAAGATCCCGCCACACTGCGGCAGAACCCAGTAGCGCCGTTTATAACGGTCCTGACCGAACATCACGGAGCGCAGGGAATGAGAGGCCTCGAACAGCTTCCGACGGATCTGAGTCTGCTGCTGGAAGAGAATCAATCAGACAGATGTATTCTATTTCACCTCTCTTTACTAAAAATATTTGGAAATATGCAAGCGGTCAAGTCATTTCAGCACACATTTAGTTACAGCAAGTATAGGCATGTTATCCTCCTGGGACCCAGCTATTAATTTTTGTCCTCTATAGAGGACGTTTGTTTTTAATGAATTTAAAGAGATTTTGCCTGTGGTGCCTTGCCTTCATTTTCTTAACTAATTCCTGATATCCTCTACGGATGACATACAATATCAAGATTTTTTGTTCTATATCTCTTATGCATTTATTGCAGGTCTCAGGTGGTTGTGCATTTTAGGCTGGTGTAATAATATCCAATCATAAAGAAAAGGACTGACTGTCATTCAGATTTATTCACATACAGACATGTAACCCTCTAAAGCAAATTTCTAAGGCATCATCATGATCAAAACATCATGAAAAACCTGTTGCACACAATCTACTACATGCCTTCTGTCGTCTGATTGATAGTTTAGACATTTGTAGTGAGTAAAAGGTCTTTTAGTGTAATTGTACAAACGTCCACCTTCAGCTCGTGCTCCACGTGTCTTTTTACAGTGACATTTTTGCAGATTTTTATGAAGTAAATGTAGGAATAACTGTATTATCGTTAGTAATATTTCACGATGAACAATTACTGGACTGAAGCAGCTTAGGTTTACTTAATTATCCATAAATCTTTTTTTTTTTAGAAAATGTCTCAAATATGATCATCAGGCTTTTGAGGAATGTTTTTGTTCATCTCTCAATCATCATTGTATTGCATTGCATTATATGTTTTGTTCATAAAACTTGAAATCTCATCTTACTAAGACATTATGGGGAGATATAGAGTGACGACTGATGTTTGTATCATTTAGTCTGCTAATACTGAGAAAATGTCTCAAATATGATCATCAGGCTTTTGAGGAATGTTTTTGTTAATCTCTCAATCATCATTGTATTGCATTGCATTATATGTTTTGTTCATAAAACTTGAAATCTCATCTTACTAAGACATTATGGGGAGATATAGAGTGACGACTGATGTTTGTATCATTTAGTCTGCTAATACTGTTATAAAGATCTCATTGATTTACATTACAAGCATCAGAATTTCGGCTTATTTTTTGGCCATATAAATATCAGCATCTGCACCAAATTGCTATTTTTGCTCAGTTTGGGCCTCTGAATAAAACTGAGGTGTTCTTCCTCCATATTCTCACTATATCATACGAGCCATAAAAGCCTGAAGTATCAAATGATACTCAACAAAAAACATGTGGTGAGATTCACATCCTGATATTCATTTACCTTGCTGAGCTTCTCGATCTGTCTCTCCAGCTCTTCAGTGCTTGTGATTTGATCACCTTCGTCCTGCAAAACAAGACCAAGAACAGCTGACACGCTGCTAAAACATCACCTTTGAGAAACTTTTAGAGCTCAAAACCTCCTTCTCAGTGCAAAAAAGAGATCACTACTAAAACTAAACTGCAAAAAATGACTCCTCCTGAACATCTAACATCAGATAAACACATTTCGAACACATACATTTGGGTCATTACGTATCAAATCGACCAAATTTCAGAAACTTCCCCAGATACAATTTTTGATTTTGTTCATATTTTTTCTGAAGAAAGATAAATAGATAAGTATTACCAATATGCAAAGTGACCACATTTGTTTTTCGACCATTGAAAATGGGTTAAAATTCAACAATCTGCACACAAAGCCGCATCAAAATCTCCATATATCTGGGAATGAACCATGTAAGGCCATAAAAATGAAAATGAAAATGTTGTCAAGAACCAAAATCTAAAAGGATATTAAGATATCTTTAATATTTTTTGATATAAAGACATGCAAACTTTAGGAAAAAAGTGCTTTTTCCCATTTTTGAACTGTCCCCATTGGCATTTAATGCAACAAGTATTGCTAAAGTCTACAGATTTTACTAATAGACCCACCAATCTCTGTGTAAAAATAACATAATGATGCTGCCATCTTTCTGAGGTCATTTCTCCTACCCTGTAATTTGGCTCCAAATCTCAGGTGACCATTGTAAAATACAAAATACAAAATAGTGGATTACTCCGTAAACATTCATCCATGGCATTTAATATTTTGGCTTTCTTCTTCATTTATGTATTTCTTTCACCAAAGAAAAAAATGATCAAAATCAAAATGAAAACACTCTACCTCATCTTCACACGCCTCGGCTTTCTTCCCTTTCTTCCCACCAAAATCGTCTTCATCCTCATCCTCCTCTCCCTGTTCATCGCTGTCATCGTCTTCCTCATCATCTTCGTCACTCTCTCCTCCTTTGCGCTTGCGTTTACGGCTGTTCACAGCGAACTGAGCCTCCTCTCCTCCAACGCTGCTCTCCCGCTTTCCCGTCCTCTTAGCATAGATGCTTCTCAGTCTGAAGAACAACAACGGCCAAAAGAACATGATGCATTACAATCTAGCTGAACAGAACATCATAATCACATTATAACTAGATATAGCATTATAACAGTGCTTTTTATTCTGAGTAAATGAAATGCTGCAGCAGTAAAATGACATTGTTTTATGAATAATTTCCTAATATTCAAATGCAGGGTGAATGAAATATGATTGCAATAGTATATCTTTATATGTCATATTAAAAAATTGGGAACTGTGTATTATGGACCACAGGAAGACTAGTGACCACTATGTGAAATTTCATTCGTGTTTTACATTATTAGGGAAGATCAGTAAGGAAATATGTGTGTTTATGTGATGGCATAAACAAGTGTCTTACTTCCGCAGGTTCCCCTCAATCACCCACTTGTCTCGTCGCAGGTTAGTCATATTGTCGATGTTTTTGTCGATCTCACTGTGCAAAGATGACAAATAAAATTGAAATCTTGTGCATGAAACACACTGATATTTATAAGCACATTTAGAGATAGGTGGTATGACGAAAATCTTAAAATATAAGTTGTAATTTTATATCACAGGTAGTTACAGTATGCATATATATATATATATATATATATATAAAATTTGATAATATTGTAATTATTTTATTTAAATAATATTATTTCTATTTTTATATTTATTCATATTTATCTTTTTAGTAATATAATAATTCTAATAACATACTATGTGTGAACACACACACACACACACACACACACACACACACACACATTATCTTGTCCTGTGTTGCGCACTTGGCGACTGTACCCCTAAACAGCAGCCAGACATCTCCCCCGGGTCATCAGTAATGAGCATTCTCCATCATCTCGACTTCCATTCACTCTGCTCAGTGATTACACAGCACGGCCTAATGCTGGGCTGGTTTTACTTTATGTACACACGCACAAATATACACACACCAGTGGAGTAGAGTGGATTTCTGAAAAAGGAGGCAAAGTCCCATTTGGTTTTTACATCCCAATGTAAATTCATGTTCCAGTTAATTTGATGTTTACATGGTGTTGGCTTGTACTTAGCAAATGTGTAACATGATGTATGTAAGTCACTGAAATAATGGCAGGACTACAAACTTTATTTGTTTTCACTTGTATATTGAATTGAGTTTAAAATTTTGTTTTGGTCCTCCTGCTATATGGTCATTCTTAACTATGTTGTGCTGTCTGGCCTGTTTTTATGTATGTTATATTTTATGTATTTTTTGTATATGTTATATTCTCCTCTAATCTTGCTCCTCTGGTAAGCACTTTGGTCAGCCTAGTGGCTGTTGTAAATGTGCTATATGAATAAAATGACCTTAAACTTGAACTACAAACTAGGTGTTTCAGGTAAGTGTCGACTTTTTAACTTTGCAGATCAATTACATGCACAAACAGCTATACTACATACTAAAGGAATGGTCAAAAAAAAAAAATGCATAAACTGTGCCCTTTAAAGTATATATTTTTTTCTGCCATTGCACAGCTTATATGGACATTTTGCCTGGTCCATTCTCTAGTGCAGCATCAGTTTTCCACTCCAGTTCCATCATAAGCATGCAGAGCTAATGAAGTGAGATGAGCGCACCTGACCACACTCTTGCTGCAGGACAGCTCATTGACCAGGAAGGCCAGTATAGAGGCTTTTTGAGACGGCGTGTGGGCCTGGAAAGCTTTGGTCTTTAAGCTTTCAGCCAGAGGCGCTAGTTCAGTCTGTCCACAGTGAGCTTCCATATAGATCTGCAGCACCTCGGACACATTGTCCCTGTTCAGGCCGAGGTTAGTCACATGGTCTCCGAGAGCAGTCTTAGCCTGAAGTGTTCAAAACATCCAAACAAAAGAACAGAGCGATCCAATGAGGAACTCATTGTGACAAAGGCCACGAGTTAAAATGCTCAAAGAGATTTGAATAATCATGGTAATTGAAAGGCATGGTTAAGTCGTTTAATTTCGGAGTTTCTTCAGGCGGGCAAATGGCTTTTTATTAAGACTGTGAACGCATGTGAGATTAGTGCAGAGCATCTGCTGAGGGGCTGAACTGAATTCTTGCTCTTCATGGGAGATACTGAGCTTAAAGTAGAGCAGCAGGAACTGCCCACGAGGGAATACTCTAGGATCAGACAGACTCTGCGCTGATTTTATGACATTCAAATGAGAAAATAAATAAATAAATTGACATAATATGAGATAGAATCATGTATATTGACAACTTGCTGATTAATGATTGAAAAAGGTGACTAACAATAATAATAATACTAACAGCTGATCAGTTAGTAATGATCAGTTTCTGTAAATCTACGCATGTGATTGCTCAGGTCTCACCCTGTGTCCTGCAGGGAGTCCTGGGTCACAAACAGCAGCAGACAGCATGCGCACCAGCAGGTCCTGGATGAAGCCCATGCTGTCACCCACATTCAGCAGCCCTGCCTGCAGCACACCGAGTGACGGGACGTCAGCGCTGAGGTCAAACCCCAGGACCTTTCCAAAACAGCGCAGGAACTGCATGACCATTAGACAGTCTGAGAAACATCCTCCCGGCAACAGCAGACCCGCTATCCTTGACAGCGCCGGCAGAGGCTGCACATGGAGAGAGAGACACAGAAGAGCAGTTTATTATTGGACAGTTGTGTGCCTAGTATATGTATGTGGTTGCTATGGTGTTCTGGATGGTTTCTAGTACATCTAGGTGGTTCTTATGTTACTAGGCGGTTGCTAGGGGGATTTTTGGAATATCTGATTGTCATATACACTACCGGTCAAAAGTCTGGAATAATTAAGATTTTTAAAATGTTTTTAAAATAAGTCTCTTCTGCTCACCAAGACTGCATTGATTGGATTGAAAAATACAGTAAAAACTGTAATATTGTGAAATATTATTACGATTTAAAATAACTGTTTTCTATGTGAATATATTGTAAAACGTAATTTATTTATGAGACGCAAAGCTGAATTTTCAGCATCATTACTCGTGATATCCTTCAGAAATCATTCTAATATGCTGATTGAAGTTGATCTGATTTGAATTGATTAATTATTATTGATGCTAAATTATTTATAATGGTTCTTATTATTATCAATGTTGAAAACGTTTTTGCTGCTTAAAATAGAAATCTTTTGTAACATTATAAATGTCTTTACTGCCACTTTTAATTAATTTAATACATCCTTGCTGAGCAAAAGTACTAATTTCTGCTTAAAAAAAACTTGAATAGTAGGGTACTACAATTTCCACAAAAATATGAAGCACAACTGTTTTCAACATTGATAATAATCATAAATGTTTCTTGAGCAGCAAATCAGCATATTAGAATGATTTCTGAAGATCATGTGACATTTTAACATATATTCACACAGAAAACAGTTATTTTAAATTGTAATTATGTTTCACAATTTTACAATTTTTACTTTATTTTTTAGCAAATAAATTCAGCAGACATAAAATTATAATAATAATTATTCAAAACTTTTAGCAGGTAGTGTACAGGAAAACCATTAGTCCGATTGACTTTGTTTGGTGCCACTAATTGCGCAGAAATTCTGCACTTAATCTTTATATTTGGTTGTGTATAAAAAAGGATTCAGTGGCTGCTGTGATTCACCTTGTGGTCAGACAGACACATGTCTTCATTGGGTTTGTTCAACTCTTTGGCCATCTCCAGCTCCAGCCGTCTGAGCTCCAGTCTGCGCTCCTTGTTCAGTCGTTTCTCATCTCGTTTCTCCAGTTTCAGTCGCTCTTTGTCCTGCAGAAACATTTAAGAAGATTTGACAAACCTTGTGTGCCAATTGCGCTCCTTGTTCAGTCGTTTCTCATCTCGTTTCTCCAGTTTCAGTCGCTCTTTCTCCTGCAGAAACATTTAAGAAGATTTGACAAACCTTGTGTGCCAATAAGACTGATCTACTCATTCACAGTCTATATGATTGAGCGGAAGAAGGATCAGAGGGAAGAGAGACACTAAAGGAGAGATGAGGCGAGAGAGAATAAGAGGAGATGAAAGGAGGAAAAGAGAATGATGAAACGATAAAAGGAGCTGTATAACATGCCTCAGCTTTCTTCCTGGCCTCTATCGCCTTCATCAACATCACATGCTGCCGACGTCTCTCCCGCTCCTACAACAACAAACACACAGACATCAGAGAAAGAACAGAATAAACTAAAGAAACAAAACTATACAGGAAAGAATGAAAGAACAAACAAAAGAAGAGAACAAATGAACAAATTAACGAACATGAATTAAAAAATAAAACAGAATGAAAGCAAGAAAAAAATGGAAGTAAAAAAACGAAGTGAGCAAAAACAAATAAAGAAAACAAAAGAATTAAATTTTAACAACGTTAAAAGAACACAAAAATAAAACAGAAATAAAAGAGAAAGCAAATACAAGACGGAAGGAAGGAAGAAAGAAAGAATTAACAAAAATAATGAAAGAAAAACTGAGTGAACAAAACAAGAAAAAAAGAAAAATAAACAAAATAATAAAAAAAATTAAAGAACAAATGAAAGAAAAATAAAGAAATTAAACAGAAAAGACAGAACAAATAGGAAAAACAAAGACCAATAAAATAAGGAAAGAGCAAAAGATCTAAAGAACACAACAAATGTGTTAACAAAACATCAAACAAAACAAACAAAACATCAAAAGAAAAACAAGAGAAACTTAAAACAATGAAACAGAACAAAGAATGAAAGAAAGTAAATGAGAAACAAACAAAAGACAGACAGAATAAAAGAAAGAACACAATTGCGACAGGCGTGTTGTTTACTGAATAATGTAATCGTGGCAGAAGCGTGAAGATTTAGTGAAGCTTCAGCAGGTTGAGAGCTGAGAGTCTGCAGCACTACAACAGATCTGTTAACCAGCGGAGTCGCCACTTCCTAAACATCTTTATGAAGCACGAGTTATTCCAGGTGTTATGTTTCTACAGGCAGCTTGAGGGCTTTAGTGCAGGACAGACAGGGAGAGAGACATGAACGAGTCCACGGAAATCTCCAAATGCCCTCAGTACATTATATCAATATTTAAACAAGATACAACAGACTTTAAAACATTTACAAATGAAAAACTGATCCAAATGGAAACGGTTTTCAGCTGCTGAGTGGCAAGCTTTAGGAAATTATTTCATTGTCTGTTTTAAATCTAAAACAACACATACGCTTCAGGGGCTGGATGTTCCTAAATATCACAAACACAAGAGGCCACGCAAATGAAAAACAAGCTAGAATCAGAATGAATGTTATCATGATATTGAGTTGGAGGCTTGATGATATGAAGCTGCGTGAACACACACAATCCAGTTTCCACCAAGACAGATGGAAATATTGTAACTGATGTCTGTTAACAGATATAGAGATTACGGCTCTGTTCCAAAACAGTGAGCTGCCTTTTAAGGGAGCACGCTAACTGAAATTAAACCCTCTACATCACAATCAAGTCCTTCATATGACAAGTCCTGATGGCTCCCTAATTTGCTTATAAAATATCAATAAAAACACAAATAGCAATTAAAACACAAACGTCAGGTAAAATTAATTGAATTGAACTTTATAACTTACATAAATACTTTTCAGTACTGTATGCAGTCTTGTTAATGTTAATTAAAACCATAAAAAAAAATAAAAAATATAATGGTTTTAGTGGTTTTATGAAAGAATCAAGAATTACACACACACATATATATATATATATATATATATATACATACATACATGCAGTATATAAAACATTAAATAAAATTTAGCATAAATATTGGATGAAAACTTAAAAATTGGAAATGTTGCTTTGGCAACTAACTGAAATAAATAAGTTTAAGTACTAAAATTAACTAAAATAATAAATAGTAAAATATTAAATGAACATTGAAATATTAAATAAAATTCAAAAATTATAAAAATGACAAATGCACATAAAATGACTAAGAATAAAATTAAAACAAATTTTTTTTGAAAATATTAAAATATAAAATAAAAATATAAAGAATATTTAAAAATTCAAGATATCAGCCAATTCAAAATATCAATAAATACTAAAATAGTATGTAAATGCTAAAACAACAATGCTGCATGAATTACATTCATAATTTACCTATAAAATACGATAATTTCTCTCTTTTTGTCTGCCATCTTTAATGGATTTTGCAATGCATTCTTCTAGCAATGCATTATGGGATTGCCTACTCTGTAAACAATAAATGTGATGTTGTCTTTGAATTTGGCCAGAAGATATCTTAAAAGAAATATGCTTTTCAGGACCGTGTTTATGATGCCTAAAAATGCTTCCTACATAGGCAGCTCACTAAGTTTCAGAAAAGAGCTCATTTGTCTCTCCTTCGGCAGGCAGATGAAAGCAGATGCGGGGCGTCATGCAGGAGGAATGCAAGCGCAGTCAAAGCAGTCAGTTGCACGTGCAACACGGAGCAAAACACCCGAATCACAAGCTTTTCACAATGTGTTAGATGATGAAAAGTAAACATACCCATACCATATCTAGTCTATGTCTCTCCAACTCCTGCGAGAGTTGGCAAAGGCAAGAACAAAAATAAGTAAATAAATCAATGCATACAACCTTATTGAGCAACTCCCCAGTAGACTGATTACCCACAATACATTTAGAGCAATAGCTGAGCCAAAAAAAGAGAGAATTCTTACAATAATAATGACAGAATTAATTTTTGGCTAAACTATTCCTTTAAATTAATCACATAAAAGAATAAAAGCAGCAGAGATTTGAGGCATTATTCAGTGAAATACTGTTTGTGAAGGAGATCTGAAGACGTCTGTTTATACCTGGTGCTTCAGGATGATGGCCTGCTGTCTGCGCAGCTCCTTCTCCTTCAGACGGAGATATAAATAAATTAAAACATGCAAATATTCCCTTATTTCCATTACTGAGATGGGAGAGAGAAAGAGATGCAGATGGAGGGATGTCATAAACAGATAGGATTTTCTCCATTTATTTCCGTGGTATATTGAAATGCCTGGGTTTTATCGCCACAGACTCAATCTCTCACAGAAACACATCCAAATGGTTATAAAAATGTGCACTAGTCCAGTTTCTGAATTTTTTTATTAAGGCATATTTTTTTTGCATCCTATAATGTTTCTAACCATATAAAACACACAATGTGTCATACAATATTTCACCCGAATCGTTTAACTTGAAATATAGCTCAATTGTAACAATTATTGCTGTTATCTGTAAAATCAAATCACTCACATGGTGTATTTTTGTCCCATGTAACCTAATGTCTAACTTTACTCTTATTGAGTTCATATATGTAATACATAGTAAGGAGAGACGTTGAATCAGATATTGAGATAAACTGCTCGCAGTAAATAATTCAGTAAATCAATAAATGCATCAATTGCTAAAAAAAAAAACAACAAACCTTTATTCGCTTTTCAGCTTCTAGTATTTTAGCATTTGCAGCCTCTTCTTTCTTTTTTCTTTTAGCCTGTGAGAAAACAAAAAAACATATTTGACAGAAGTTATATAAATTAATATATTAATATAACATAAAATATTTGACGTAAGTTATTTAACTTGACCAGTAAATGTTTGAATGCGTAGTACAGTATGAATTAAAGATGCAATAAGCAAACTTATATCTCAATATTTAACAGCCTTCTAATGATATTTGATAGACAATCCATATTTATATATTGTTCTACTGAAATCAGAGGAAACATCGTTCAAACCAAACAGTCATTGTAGAGAAGTAGATTTAAAATGCAATACAAAAAAAAAATAATCAGGGTATATTTTAATGTCACCAACCAGCCTAAATTCATATTCATTACTAGATAACAGATTTTTAAAAAACTCTCTGAAGTAGACTGTTAAACCTATTCTAGGAAGGAATGGCTGATTAATATTATAAGCATGTGCTTCAGTCATCTTTATTCCAGTCAATTAAAATGGGAAAACACAAGCAGCGCAATAAAAGTGCTTTAAACTCTGAAAGAATAAATTAAATTCACATCTAAATTATTGCAATTAGTCGTTGTGTTGAAAGCAGTTAGGGTTGATTAAGTGACTGTGCCAATTCGAAATATGATCATAATGCTACCTGTTTGTCTTTACATGTTAAATATTAATATGGATGCTTAAAGAGGAATATATGTTTCATTTCAGTGTGACTGTCTTTGACTGGAGACAAAACTGTGTCATTCCTGTTGTGACATGGGTGTCTTTATATTTTATACACATTACCAGTCAAAAGTTCAGAGCCAGACACATCTCATTTTTATTAATACTGTTTCCCCTAGTTCAAATTAATAGTGAATTCATCAGAACCGATGACAATGCTGGCACTTTCCGATCCATTACAATTAAAATTTAAATTAAATTTAAATTTAATTCATTTTGCATGTAGATCATTTATATTTGTATTACATTTATACTATTTTCATGTATTTAATTGTACTGTATATAAGCTTTGTAAAAATGTATATATATTCCTAAGTAGTTATAAAATTTCCCACAATTCAAAATAATAGTGAAGTTATTAAACTGATGACAAAGCTGGCAGCTTTTTCACCAATTTCTGCTCAATTTCATTTTTTTAATTAAACTATTAGTTGCATGTATATAATTATATTTGTATTATATTTATACTATTTTCAAGTATGTATTTGTACTGTATATAAGCTTCATAAAAATGTGTATATAAATACCTTCAAAATTTCCAACTTCATATTTACATATTTCCAAATTTCTATTTACTATTATTTTAAATTTATACTATACTGATTTATATTATTAGTACATGAAAGTTTTTAGGTTTACTCCATATAACCCTTTTAAAAAGATATTTTTAAATATTTATATCTGCTTATAAGTACCTGTAAAATTTCCCACACAAAGCTGGCAGCTTTTCCATCAATTTCCGATCAATTTCGTTTTTTGTTGTTGTTTTTTTGCCGCTTTATAGGCTTTGAACGGTTAAATACACACACTTATACGTGTCAAAATGCCCGTCTTTGCAAGTATCCTCGTAAACACAGTAATTTAGCAAACAGCTGAGAAAGAAAACACACGTGTAACATTGGATCTGGGCAGCTCTTAAAGTGACAGCAGTGTCTGTCATTCATGTTCATCAAACAACAAAAGAGAGAAAATCTCTCACTGCTCTTGACTAAATCACTTTTGTAGCTTTAATAAGAAGAAATATATATTTAATTTACACAGTGAAGAATATGCAGTGTTTTTATACATTTAATTACTTTATACAATTAATTAGCATTTCTTATTTATCTGTTCTACTGTAGTTTTTTGTGCTATTGCTAGTAATTAGTCTATTATTCTTTTTGAATCGCTGACTGTTTACTTGTCTTCAGTGAGATTTTTTATTATTATTATTTAGGCTAATATTAGTTTCTTTGTGATATTGACACTGGTGACAAAAATTATAACATTTCTATGGTATCAAAATGTTTGATATCATAATGACCTTATTTAAAGCAAAAATAATATATATTGTTACCGTGATATAAAATTACTCATATCGTGATATAAGATTTTGGTCATATCACCCACCCCTACTGTATATAAGCTTTATAAAAATGTATATATAGGTAGCACCAAAATTTCCCACATTTCAAAATAAAAATAAATTGATATTTACTATTATTAATTTAAAATTAATTTTATTATTAAATACATTTCATGTATTTAATTTTACTGCATATAAACTTAAAAATATATTTTTCAATATTTATAAAAAAGTACCTGTAAAATTTCCCAAAGCCGGCAGCTTTTCCATCATTTTCTGCTCGATTTCAATTAATTTTTAATTAAAATATTAGTTTTGCATGCAGAAAATATATATTTGTATTTATTTGTATATATAAGTATTTATTTGTACTCTTTATAAGCCATTTTTAAATATATTTTTAAATATTTATACATATTTATAAGCACCTCCAAAAATTCGCACACTTCACAATAATAGTAATTTTTTTAAATTAAACTATTATTTGTAGTAGATAATTTACATTTGTATTATATGTTACACTATATATAAGCTTTTTACCTCCAAAATCTGCCGAGCACGGAGTTCCTTCTCCAAACGGACCTGCTGGATTCTCTTGAACTTCTCCTGTTTAAGAAGCGGGAATGAGAGAGAATGAGCTGCGGTCTGGATTTTCAACAAGTATCTTATGCATCATCCCCTGAAGGTAAAGGCTGATCTGAAGTGTCAAAAGCAACAATGCATGCACAAACACAAACACAAACAATAAGTGGACAGGAAACATCATGAGAAAACGTGGATGTTTCTGACCTGCTGTTTCAGAATCTTCATTTGTTCCTTGTGTTTCCGCCGTTCTTCTGCTGCCATGATTGCTAAAAGTCCACAGGAAAAGGTGAGTGGGTTTATCAAGTGTAGTAGAAACTAGAAACTAAATAAAGCTCCAGCTCACCTTGCTGTCTCCTGGCCTCTTTGGCCGCTTGTGCCAGCGCCTGCTTCTCCAGCTTACGCCTCAGCTTCATCTGAGCCGCCTGCCGCGCCATTTCTGCCAGAGACACGAGAGCTTTAGAGCTCAGTTAATATACAGCAATGCTATACAAGTCCAGCTATAGACAGGGTTTCTGCACGTCTTAAGACTTTTTAAGTACATTTAAGACTTTTTAAGACCTTTTCAAGACCAATTAAAGAAAATTTAAAGAATAAACTGAAGGGAACACAATATGCAAATATCTAAGGAGAAACACAATGATTTGAATTAGAAGCACTTTTTTTAAATAGCTTAACTAGAAAATGGAAATAACTTTTACTGTACCTTCTGATCACACTGCACAAAAGTGACGTTCTTCCTCAGTATTTTTGTCTTGTTTTCCAGTGCAAATGTCTAAAATTTCTTAAATCAAGATGCAAAAATGACATACAAGTCGTCTTGTTTTCTGAGAAATTTATCAAAATGAAGTTCATTTATAATAATAAAAAAAGGACAAATATCTGGGCTCAGAAAAATCAACTAGATTCAAAGGGTAAACAAGCTCATTCACAATTCACAGATATTTGGTCTTGTTTCAAGCATAAACTCTCTTAATTTTATTCAATTAGTCAAAAAGCAAGACTTCATAATTTCATTTTGAATCTCAAGTAAATTTAAGGATGTTTAGATATTTGTATTGGAAAACAAAATAAAAATACTTACAAAGATATTCAGTTATATTTTTTAATTATTCAGTTATTTTTATTATATTTTTGCAGTGCATGCAACATTTAACACCATGACTTTACGAATTTAAGACTTTCTGCTCCGGATTTAAGACCTCTTAATTTGTGAAAGAGCAAATTAAGACTTTTTAAGACCTACAGAAAAATTGTATAGAGAACAAATGAATTAGGGTTGTAACGATGCACCCCGAGCCGGTTGAAAATCGATTAAAATATGTGACAATTTAAGTCGGTTGAGATGTTAAACAAACTACAATTTAATTGGGGGTGGGAGTTTATATGAATGTATCTCTGAGGGGAACGGACTGTCTTCAGAAAAGTCCATATGGTCTTTTCTTTTCATCTTGCCTCTGAACAATGCATATTAAAGTAGTGTTCATAAGAGCAGCTGCTTTGTTTACAGCGGTAACCCAGGAAACACTGTATCTGCTGTTCCATAAGCACCACCTGCTGGCAGAGAGTGAATCTGCGTCTCATTCAGCTCGTCTGCTGTTTTTGTTTCGTTCAGATATGTTTTATGTAGCATCATTTTACAATCCTAAAGTCAGACCATTCTGTTTTTGCTTTAAATTTCGAAATTATACAATCTAAATTAAATAAAAAACTGCTCATGCTGCATGTACGCAGAATCTTTGTTTGAATCATGATTAAAATGCAGTGGTTGCCTCTAACTGAATGGAAAGAGCACAGGCTAAGCCTTAGTTTGTTATATGAAGAGATTTATTTGTTTTGGGATTTGTTTTCAAATTCCAGTTTAGCTTTGTTATGTGACATTTCAGTTTCACAAAGAAATGTGAAAATATTGTTAGAAAAATAGTGAGAAAATTGTATTATGAAATCGGTATGAATTGAGTGAATAATTACATCCCTACTTCTTATGTGTAGATTCTTCAAAAAAAAAAAAAAAAAAAAAAAAAATTTTATTTTTGGGAAGAAACTCACAGATAAAATGACAAGGATTTTTATCATTGCCCATGCACTTTGGCCTAAATGTCTGCCATTTTTTATTTTATATGTGTTGAGGTGTAAGAGGTGTTATGTTTCTGCACTCTTCCATTTTTATCAAATTAAGAAAAAACTTTGTCTAAAAACAATTTTTGTGATGGTTTGTATTTTTTGTGCTCTGTATGGAACATCAATGCCTGTTTAAGTGATGAACTCCATTACTTGTGCTTGCTTTCAGACATGATAACCTACGAAAGAAAGAATTTTCATTTTGGGTGAATGAAATCTTTTAAAACATTCTAAAATCTTAATTTCAATTTGCAAGGTTTAAGTTTCACACGTTTGCTAAATTAAAAGAGAAAATGAGTGCATCTGTTTCTTGGTTTGTGTCAGCGGTACCCTGGGCCTCCAGTCTGCGCAGTAGTTTGGCCTCAGAGGTGCTGAGAGCATCGGCTTCACCCTCGTCAGGCGCTCTGGCTTTCCGGCGAGAGCGAGCGGAGTCAGCGGCACGATTACCCAGAGCGTCAAGATTCTTGAGACGACCCCGTCGACCTTCCATCGCCAGAATACGAGGAACCACTTCCTCCTCCTTCAGTAAGCACCACTGTAACCCCTGAAGAAGACAACAACAGTGTTTAGAGCAGGGCTGCCCAAACTCGGTCCTGGAGGGCCGGTGTCCTGAAGAGTTTAGCTCCAACCCTAATTAAAC